AACAGTTCTTGACTTTCTGCTCACATCACATCCCAATAGCTTCTCTTCCCTCTATCTTATATTACCAGCCTCAATGATCCCACCGCTGTCCATACCACGTTTCTCTGCAATATTAAAAAATGCATAAAATCAAAGAAGTTATTAACACTTTAGAACAAAGCCAACTATGTCTCCATGAATAACGACTTACCCGTCTTCTATAGCGAATGTTCTTTTACTTACCAATTAGGAATCTATCAAATCAATTGAATTATTCAAAACACAAGGTACAAGACTTGATTAAACTTCCCATTCCTATAACTGCTGTAAGCCAAAGATCCCATTCTCCTTGGTTTAACTTCACATTAAAACGTACACAGCGATGCTACCGAGGTAGTCGGATATAGAGCAATTTTAGGAGCAGTTAAATTTTTATTTTCGAGCACTTTAAAGCAGTGAAACTTTCTATTTTGGAGAACTTTGAAGCAGCAAAATTTTCTATTTTGGAACACTTTGGAGCAGCAAAGTTTTTTATTTTGGAGCACTTTCAAGCAGCAACTTCACATGCTAGAGAATAAGCAAATTGCAGTTTATATTCAAGGACATGAATAATTATTTTGGGGCTTTTGTAAGGAGCTAAAAATTTTTCGATTCATTGGAATTGAATCTCATGGAGCGAGTCATCTTAGGAGCACTCCCTATTTCAGTTGATGATGCAAAAATAATGGCGTCATGCTGCTGAGCATTCTGAAAAAATTTGCTCAGTGATTATTTTCGTAGCAAATAGAGATAACACTGGTTGAGCAAAATGGCACTCATGGAGTAACATTCTAAATACACCTGTGTAGTTATCAGCAGACCCGTAAAAAATGCTGTGACATACGATGGTTAGAGACACACACAGTCCCGAGTGCATTTCCCGAAGATAACTTCAAGGGTAAAGAAAGGTTCTTCTTCTTCAAAACCGATTATACTGCTGGCCATCATTTAGCTAGTATTATAAATCCAACCTCCTTCGGCAATCGTTTTTCTGTGCTGAAACTTGCACGATTTACTAAACTTCGCTTTCCTTCTGCAGCGATGTTTCATGCGGCTAGGGCGTTCTCTTTATACTCCAAACACCTCCCATAGTGTCCTTTAGAAAGCAGTGCACAAAGAAAAAAACCTCGCAGGGTACTTTATGCAGGGGCCTAAAGCAACTTGCAGGCGAGAACCATTTTCTATCACAATAACAATTATATGAATATTCTCGACTGGTTTTTGCTATTGCCAGGGGCACAGGCAGAATTCTTTCTAGGCGGGAGGAGGATAGCACATTGATATGAAGGGGGGGGGGGGGGGGCAGACAAATGGTCGCTTTGCACTGTATATGCCAGGGCGAAAAAATTCAGGGAGAGGGGCACATTTCCGATGTGCCCACCTCTCCCTGAATCGCGTGCCTGCCGACACTGTTATTTGCCACGGCTTCTATATCATGTTAGCAACAAGCCTCTGTTGATGCTTACATTATAGCACAAGGGCCTAGCACGCAGTATGATCATGTTTGATATCATCACGATGTCTCTTTTTACATATTTCTGAAGAAAACAGCAGCTAGAGCGGCCGGCTGGGCGCTATAGAGAAGTATGATTTCATCTGTACGCGCATCGGCGTGTGAGGTCTGCCGGGGATCTCTAGTCATCCACGTCACTGTACGGATATCAAAAACTACGCGTGCAGCTTGTTCTTGTGGACGCTGCGGTCCTTCAAAATGGCAATTCCGCCGTTATCGCTCCTCGCGGATGACGTCAAGCCTTATTACTTAATATAACAATACTATTTGTTGGTATCGCATTCATTGCTAATAGCTTAAGTGAAACTAACAGTTCCATATTTTCGACCCGACAATAAAGCATAACTGAAAAGAACACTGGCTCAATGGGCAATGATCACTCCATTTTCGCGCTGTCAGTTATCTAAATGCAAAGCAGAGGTTAGTAGCACAGAAAGTTTACGAGCAGTCTTCTTATGCCTCGAGATAGCACGCTCGCGAATGCGCCCTTCAAGTGATGCAGCCTCTCTCTCTCTACCCCCGCAAAACGAAGCAGTAAATGCGACGCCATGATGTTCATTTTTTTTAATCGTAAGCTATCAACTCGAATGTGAGAGGTGGACATGTAATGGGGCATAGCCATTTCACGGAGGCCTTCTGACGGGGGCCTTCTTCACAGGGTCCTTCCTTAATCTGGACTCGCTCATACTGTCATGGATACAAGCCTTCCTCGATCCCAATACAAAGAATCGATCCCAATACACAGTCATCGGAGGTCACCGTTCCTCGACTGCAAATGTAATATCTGGCGTACCTCAAGGTTTCGTCCTTGGCCCTCTCCTCTTTCTAATTTTTATTAATGACCTTTCCTCAAGTGTTACATCTTCGTTACGTCTCTTTGCCGACGAGTGTGTCGTTTACCGCCGTATATGTGACGGCTCTGATCAACTTGCCCTCCAAAAGGATTTAAATGTAATTGAAAATCAGTGTTCTTTATGGATGATACAACTTAATATTTCTAAGTGCAAATCTATGCAAGTTTCCTGTGAGCTTTCAAACCTAAATTTTACTTTATCCCTGCAGTCTAACCATTGCACTCTAGCAGAATCGTACCGATACCTGGGTGTTCTCATCAACAGCAAACTAACATGGACTGACCATACCGCACAGCTTACTGCCGATGAATCCAAAACATAAGGTTTCATCAGAAGATCCCTGCCCTGCTCACCGGCCTCAGATTGTAAACTCGCCTACGAAACCAACGTCCGTAGTAAACTCGAGTATGCCTCTCCGATTCAGAATCCACACCATTCTTATTTAATTGATTTTGAATGGCCCGTGAAGCCATTCAAAATCGCGCGGCTCGTTTTATAACCTCCGAATACAATTTCCGCACAAGTGTTACTACTATAAAATCATCACTGTCTCTCACCTCTCTGGATCTTAGACCAAAAATAACATGCCTTTGTTTATTTCACAAAAACTGTATTTCAATTATTCTTACTTACATGGCTCCCTGCTTCTCCCACCAGTTCGAACTTTGCGCCATCTCTTCAATTCTTTGAGTGTCCAAAATTTAAAAGGTTCAACCAACACTTTTAACAAATCTTTCTTCCCGTTAACAACTGAGGATTGGAATCGGCTTCTAAATGCAATAGCCAACGAACGAAATACTGTGAAGTTTAAACCCTTACTCAAAACTCATTTTACAACCACAGCGTCGCAGTTTCTGTGTAGCCAGTTGCCTTTCTCTCAATTTTTTAATCATGCTATTAGTTTTATAACGAGTTCTGTTTTTATTATTGCCCTGTAATTCCAATTCTTGAAGTTTAACTTACTTTACGTTCTTGGTCTGGAATCGCCTTTGTGTATCCTTTTTCGACCCCCCCCCCCCCTATGTATTACCCCGTCAGGGGCCCTTAAGGGAAAAATAAATGATGATGATGAACAGAGCGGCCAGCTATAGCCTCACTGCTGCAAGCTGTGCGTATTAGAACAAAGTTCCGTTGGAAAATCAAGTAGTGTTCATCATGAAAGGAAGAAATTGCAGCTGCTCCGACCAAGAGGCATGTGTTGATGCGATGACATTAAAAAAAAAAGCACATGAAAATTTTGAATTCGAACCCTAGCAATCGATCTCGAGTTCGAAAAGGCACGGTATCTTGAGAGCTTTACCGCAACAGTGATTACAAATGCAGATGTGCTGATGGAAGGAATTATGAAAAAGCAGTTCTGAATGAAAATACATGAATAAATTATATTTAAGGAAAAGTGTCAACGCATTCCTACCGTTTATGTGTTCTTCTGTGGACGCCGAGCATGGAAAATAAAATTGTGCGCCATGTCCAGAATTACACATGACACACATTCTGGCGGCGCTTATACGTACAGTTGTTAGTCAAAATTGCTATAATTACGTGCCGTGCAACTTTTCAAACGAGCTATCAACAGAATTGCTGGAATGAACAACGCCCGCCGATGAATTGCCGCCACAGTTTCTTGATACAGATTGAAGTAGACGTGGACAGCCCCTGCGGGGAACGCGTTTCGCCGATAAGCGAACTTGCACAACACAAGTTGAGTCGGGCACCAACCATAGCATCGTGAATTACTCATGACTGGCGCGCGACTACTGTTTATCCAGCAGAGCTATTCTAGGTACGTGGTTGTGACATTGGTGGCCCTGAGAACAAGATGTACGCGTTTTGACGTGCTGGTTTTGGCAATTGCCACTGACAGACGCTCCCAAATCCGACTTTGGCGCAATTTGGCACAATTTTAGTTGATATTATTAGGATGACGCAGTAAATCTGATTTGGCGCACTTTGGCGCATGAGTGGCATCACTGCGTAGAAAAAATAAGAAAAAACACCAGTTACGTGCAGCCAAGCAGTGAAACTCGCTGCTAGCTTGGCATAAGTACAGCCAAAGAATATGTGGCATTATCAAAAGCGAAACGAAACTTTTTTTCAGCCACCTTATCTAACATGCTTCGGGACAACCCACACCACTTTTGGAAACTTATGAAACCGGACGACGAAACCGACATTTCTCTTTGCGACTCTTTTGGATCCCCCACTGCCAATTGTAAAGCTCCGTTCATTTACAACTCTGCATATTCTCCAGTCTTTACTAACAAAGCTAACAGTTGTTAGGCCTGTGGTTTTCAGTGCATTTGCTTTACCAATACAAAACAACCAACACTGTAATGTCTGTTCCACTTCCTTAAGCACCAAACAACCTGAGTACAGTACGCTATTTCTTCTTTCTATGTAACTATGTTACTTATCTTGATTTAATTTTATTATTTCGCCACCAATACTTTTGTTGTTTTTTTCTACATGCATTCCTTGAACCTTTCCGGTTTCACGTTTCTAAGTTGAGCAGCCCTACTTCTTTTTAATTGATATGCACCATCATCCACTGCACGAAAGAGTGATCTCTGTCCTCAACTTGCTACAACAGTTGTTTCAGCAATGACTGCACTGACCTGCTGCTGCAAGCTGCGTGGTAACATCGTCGGCTACCGTGGACGAGGACAGCAGGTCCGAGTCGTCAAAGGGGCTGTCGGGACTCGAAGGCGGATCACTCAGGTCGTCGGCCGACATCATCGAGTGGCTCACCACAGCTACGCTCAGGGATGGCGTCAGCTCCCCACCACTCGTGTTCATCCTACAGCCAGGGGCCGGTGGCCGGCCCACCACCTTGCCCGTCGGCTGAAACATTCAACACGCTCATGTTGCACAGACCGTGTCACTTTACGTTTAACTGTTTTTAAACATACTCTGACTGTGCCCCGGCGGCAAGCATTGGAGAAAGTCTATGCTGATGGCACGGAATCGAGCACTAATGGAATGTGCCTGCATGGCATCTGCAGACGTGTTACCACCTCACCTCAATAAGATAAAGGGAGGGCTAATAAACATAACTGTTTTAACAAGTTCAAATGTATGAAAAATAACATGACTGACAGTAAACATGTAAAAAAGCCTCTATATTGATGGGCAGACAGCTACTTTGCCAAGATACAAGCATTCCACTTAGCCACAATATTGTTTGGACAATTCAGTGGCCTTATTCATATTTTTATGGTGGCTAGATGAGGCAGTGTGACAGACAGGCACCGACTGCACCAAAAGGTGCACAGACTTGCGATAACATATGGTTTCATACATAGAGTTTCATACAAATACCTAGAGGGAATCTGGCACTAGTGTCTACGTGGGCTCCTTCAGCGGCGCTTGTACCCCCATGGGAGTTATGGGAAGTACAGGTATGAAATGCGCTTCGAATAGATTACATTCTTGAGATTTGCGACGCTTCTTTCCAGAGTGTAAAGCAAAGTGATATAAACATGTATTTAATTGAAACTTGCTTTATTTGTTTGTATGCAAACTTTATTGTACAAGGTTTATGTGACGAGGCGGCAAAAGTAAAACCGGGGTAAATTTAACCATCAGGGTAGGCACTGCTCTGCCATTGCGTTTCAGATTCATCATCAAGATTTAATGAATTATTTTTTACAATGCTTGAAAACAAACATGCTTTTCTCTTGAAAGTATGAACTATCCATTCATGGAAGTAACAAAACAGTATTAACTGAGAAACACTTAACGCTTCGTCTTCTGCGATGCTAGGTGCGCCTGTCCAAGTGGCCTGCCTCCACACACCACTGGTTCTGTTGTGTCGAGTCAGCGGAGCGTGACAGTGCGTCTACTTAGCTTTGTCATCGTTTAACAGTCGATTTAAAACGAGTTTAGACAAGACCCACTCGTGAAAAAGCATGGCCTCGATGCAATATCCTGCACTGGCATGAGACACTACATCTATGCGCAGCGGTGTGTGGACAACGCTTCGTATAAACTGTCAAACCTGACTCGTAAAGCTCCAACGTGGCAGCGAACTTCAGACCTAGTGGTCTTCAGTCTCTTTTAACAACAAAGGGGCTGCTCCGGTGCTTTTTACTGCACCCCACTACTTGCGCAGCACAGAGAACAAAACTGATACTATAGAACCAGAAAGAAGTCTGTAGACAGTTCTCTAGATAACCCTATCCAATCCGAAGCCTGTACTTCCCATAATTCTCATGGAGTTACACGATCGCAGGGCCAGATTCCTCTCTAGGTATCATTGTATGAAACTCCATGGGTGGCACCGTGTGATGCATGGAGTACATTTAGAGCCGTTAGTAAAAAAAGAAAGAAGCTTATTGTTGCCATAGGCCATTTTTTTATGGCATTTCCATTTGTTGTAAGGCATGGTTCCAATACATTATGTAACTCACATATTTCATTTATCTGCAAGCTCTGCGGGAGACATGTGCTGTACTCCCCAGAACAATAATTATTGAGAGTGGCTTATGCATGTTTGTTGTACAAGTTTTCCTGTCTGACGTCAATTCCAAACACTATACAAAAAGCCACACTCTAGTTTCCATGAAAAATTCATCGCCTGCACAGCCACAACTTGTCTTGCTTAGGCTGTAAAGTTTTGAAGAAGAGCCTACATTCACGTAATATTTTCAATAATGTGACTCAAAGTAAAAGTGCAGCCAATGATCTGCTGTTTCAATGACAATGAACATTTGTACGACACATTCAACTGGTTCTCTAGAAACATTTCTTCTTCCCCTCATACATCCGTTGAAATGGGCAGTGCAATGTCTGTCTTCCCTCTGCATGTTCAGCCGCTTTTTTTATGCTGCGACTAAATGGTGATATTTCCATTTGTTGTCACGCGTTTTAAAAAAGCACTGACCCAAAATTTCGAAGGCAAGATAAGAAGTGAGTATACTTTATTTGTAGACACACAGAACGTCTATCACATATCGATGGCTAATATAACCTGCAACATATTTAAAACCAATTTTACTCAGCAAGATGTGGAGCTCCCATGATGCCGACATCAAGACAAAGGAAGTGCAAACAAACCTACATGAAAGGTTTCTATTGGTTGGTTGCAGGCACGTGCCTTGCGCTACCTTCCTTCTTCGTGCCTGTGATTTGTGATGTGCTCGCGAGCGGTCGCTCAGAGAGAGCGACCGCTCTTTAGCGCACGCTCTCTCCCATGCCGCCTCGTCACAGTTTTATGCGGGCACGTGGGCAGCAGTATTTACCTCCCCGCCGGATCTGCTCCTGCCTAGCTCAAAACCGAAACTGCAACTGGGCACTCTAAAAATGGCTTTAAATAAATAATCACTGCACACTTGAGCAAACAAGCTCTCCAGATGTGATCAGTGGTTCATAAGCTACCTATTGCAAAAAAAAAGTGCAAAATTCTTGTGTTAGAGCTGCAATAAAAAAGTGGTGACAAGAAATTTTAGCACCTCTGTTTCTTGCTTTTAATTGGAGGCTGACTCATCAATAGTGGCAACACAACTCATTTGCTCAGAGCAAGAAATATGTTTAATTATACAGTATAGGCTACATGATTCAACACCCACTATTCAAAAAAATTTGATTGTTTGCATTGTTCTATTGGTCCCGGCAAAAGTGCATTTTATCTACGGAACCAAACCTTCATTAATTCACCAGAATTCATCTCTACAATTCTTATTTTAGAAAAATGCTGACGGCTGGCTGCTGCTACACAAAAGTGTGGTAAAGCAGTGCTGGCGCCACTGGAATGAAACAAAAGTGGCATCACCATTGTCATCAACTAATGAGGGCGATCGCAGTGGCACCGAAGGTCTTTTTTCTTCACTCTACTGCACCTTCGACACCGTTTCCTAGGTGTTTCAGTAACGCTTGCTTTGGTTCTAGTTAGTACATAGGAAAATAAGAAGACAACTGCTTTGACGCAAAAAATATGAAAAAGAAAAAGAAAGTGAGGAAAGAAACAGAATCCTCACTTCCATTTTCCTTTTCGCAGTATTGTTAGCATCAAAGAAGTTCTCTTCTTATTTTCCCTTATGTTGTCATGTCCACTACTCATGTTTTCGTGCCCACTAGTCAGGAGACCACGACTAGTCTAACCGATCAAGAAATTATTAATGATTTCACAGATGCCCAAGAAAGCTACTATTCTGATGAAGAGAGAGGCGAGGAGCCGCAACTGCGACTTCATCACACCTTACGGGAAGTCTAGAAGGCGCATTTGATATTGACGGACACTTGCTTCAGTACTTCTGACAGCTCGTTTGCTGTTGGCTATTTGGAAGACTCAAGAAAAATTGTAATGTCAGGTGTAATCGGTGCGAAAAGCAATGAACATTTCAAAATATTTCATCAAATGAAAGTAGGCTTCTCCAACTTGATTTTCATGTTGTTTTTCCTGTTCATTTGTTAGCTTGGCACTCTGTTAATTAGGACATTTTTTCTGGTGTCACTAAATATGAATTAACGAGCTTTTAGTTTACTCCTCTGTTGCGACTGGATGCAGTTTCAATTTCCAAGAGCACTCCGGGCCGTGTGGCGTAGTTGGCCTATTTATCAACAAGTGCTATCATGTGACCACGAGAGCCACTGGCCAGCGTATAGTATCTTGTCAGCACTGCTGTTTCGTCTGCTTTGATGAGCGCTGAGAGTGCTCATTTCCTTGATGGTCAAACTACGTTACTTATCTAGTGCAGACAGACAGACAGACAATGAACTTTATTTGATCCTGAGGAGCTTTCGCGGGAACCCCTATCGGGGACCCGCGGAAGCCGCTGGCCGCGTCCAAGTAGGGGCCGGGACACCGTGATGTTCCGCCCTTTCTTGGGCCCTCTGGATTGCCTGGTGCAAGCCCTCTGGATTGCCTAGTGCATAGATGAACAAAAAAACTGGGAAGAGCAAAAAATCAGTCTGAAAAGCTTGATTCACTTCGCGATCTCCCAAGTGGCTGCGATTTCGTTCTTTTGGTTGTCCAACTAAAGCAGTGTTCATGTGCAGCATATAAGTGCCCTAACAAATGCTTGCAATTAGTTCGGGCAACGCTGAGTCGTAAAGGCAAACCAGTCCAACGTACAGATGGTGGAGCACCAAAGCAGTTATCTGTCCAATACGCAGTGTAATCCAGGCTGTAGAGAGCTTCAGGTAACTGGTAGAGATACCAGGTAACTGGAGCTGCTGCTGCAACAGCAGTCGTGGAACAGGTAGCCAACGTTTAGAGATACTTTCTCAGTTTCAGAACTCTCCACTTCGCCTTTGAGGAGCAGGCGGCCGGCTGCAGTTCCCGCCACCGCGGCGCCGCAGGGCCAACTTTGCGCCAAGCAAACTAAGGTCGTCTGCTCTAGCTAGGCGCGGTGCAGCCGGTGAGCAGCGTTTACACAACACTACAACTTCTTGGTTATGGCATGAGGAGTATGATGTAGAGCCCAGATGTGCGATGCCTTTCCAGGTCCTTGGTGAAAATAATAACTCGCGTAGCCTGGTGCTAGACGAGCATTTGTCAATTAAAAAGCCGTTCTGCGTCCTGTAACTTCTTGTTATTCCAGGTAGTAGAAACAAAATTTATAGCTTAGTTGTATTAGAAACGTCTCACCGAAGCCACGGTAAAAGCTGTGACTCATCTGGTTCCAGCTTAGTTGTTTAGAAGCTATTTTTGCGAGTCTCAGCATAGGAATTTTCGACGCTGTGCACATTAACTTGTGCAGCAAAAGCACCTGGGTGGGCCGCACTCTAAAGAAAGTTGAAACCGAGTCATTGCTGTAAGGTATCAGCTACATTTAAAATCCCACTGAAACGACACTATTTCTCTGTTCAGCTAGTATTAAAACCAGTGCACTTTCTTCTTT